TACTCTGAATAGTGTTTTGCCGGTTTTGTCGCGGATCTTCGATTGGTCAAACTTCTTCGTTATAGACTCGGATTTCAGTGTTCTTTATATTTTTGGAAACCTTGTTACAAGCTATACACTTGTTCATCCCAATTAAGATTATTGAACAATTTATTTTTGACCTAATTTTGACTGGTGTTACACATAGTGAGAAACTCACCTGAACTGAAGAACCGAAGAAGCATAACAACACTCTCACACCATGCACTAATCAATACCGCGAACCGACTAATACTAAAAGAGATGAATCATCAATCAACAACCCAAAATCCTCCAAGTTTGACCCCGAGTCAAACTGGTGAAAAGTCAACGGACAATGGTCAACAAAAGTCAATAGTCAATAGTCACCACAATGTGGAAACCTCTTGGCCACGTCATGGGCATGACATGACAACATAGACGTCGTGCAGGACATCACCACGCCGTGGACCCTCCTTGGCCACATTGTGGGCATGTCTAGACAAAACTATCGCGAAGCTGGACTCCACCACATTGTGGTCATTCCTTGCTCACGTCGTGGTTACTGGCAGATTCAATAATTCTTCATTAAGAGCTTAATTCTTACAGATCAAGGCTCAAAACTTCAAATTTAACCCTTCCCATTGACTTAATGGATAAAGTTTCCAAATTTATCCATTAGGACCTCACTCCAAGTCCATTAAGTCCTTATTATGTCCAAAACTTGCTCAAGAACACAATATAGTCCCAAACATGACGATTTTCTCATTATCAGAAACCTAATGACCATTTGAGAGCCACAACAAGCTCTGGAGTTCCTCAAACTCCAAGAACATCCATGAAAGGGACCAAAATTAATCAGAATGAACTTAAACTTGAAATATGAAGAACAAAGGTCAATATATGAACTTTATACCTTCAATAACTCAGAAATCAGAAGAGGGTGATGGATCCAAGCTAGCTCCTTACTTCCTTGCATCAATAAAAACTTCTTGCTTCTTCAAGTGTGACATCCCTAATTTTACGACCAATTAAAAAAACTTTTTCTTTATGTTTATTTAAAACAGAGTATTCTTTTATTAATGTAGAATTTGTCTCAAAACGTTATTAATGTGCAATGATATCAATATTAAAGAATTTGCAAAGAAACAATTTTCATTAATATTTAAAAACTTGGGATGTCATAACCGATACAAAAACATAAGCATAAACTAGTCTTTGTAGGGTTTATGTTGTATTTCCCTAAACCGAACTATAAGTCTATTTGAGTACACAGTCTCTTAGACTTCCTTTATTCAATGCTTGAATAGACCTGGAGGGATTCCAGAACTATGACTATAACATTTTCGGATATTTTGGTGCATTCTCCTTTCTATCTTTTTTTTTTGTCATTTTTAGTGTATGTTTTAATTTTGATGACTATTATTCGGGCAATATATTTGGGATGAATGTACTAACTAAATACTCAGTCCAACTTGTAGGCTACTTTAATTTCCCCTTATTATATGATTTTCATCAGGTTTGGCCAGTGGCCACTACGATATATATATATATATATATATATATATATATATATATATATATATATATATTATATATATATATTATATATATATGATGAGTTCGTAGCATCTTTTACATCATTTAATGCGACTTGTTAAGACGTGAAATAATAGGAATTATAGACGTCGAGCCGTCTAGAGATAGAAAGTAGTGTTGATGTTTGTGTAACCAAAAATAAAAATACATAAATGCTTATACCAGAGAAACCTTCATTGTAAGATACATAATTTGTAAACATCTGCGTCTTTTAGACTTCTGAGTGATAGCCTTGCTTGCCGAAGTAATCTCATGACCGAACCTTTCGATTGGGGGGGTGGGGGATATTGGATTCATTTGCCATAAAATTATTTTTAAAAGTCATCTCACAACTAATTCCTCTTTTTTTAGACATTTAACTAAAATATATTATATATTACACATTAAAAACATCTTAAAGCATGAATGCATCTTAGGGCACAAGTTCACCTTCGTGAGTTTAATTAAAAAGGATTTGTGAGATATGTCCCATATTTTAGTCACTTAGGAAAAAAAAGAATATTTAGCTATCACGTCCAATTAAAAAAATAAAATAAAAAGTAGGAGAAAAGAGAAAAGAAAGAAAATATCAAGAAACAAATTTTAAATGGGTTGTATTATCCATTAAATATTAAGCAAAAACACAAACAAGGTTGCATACCAAAAGATAATATATACCATGACCTCCAGAAAAAGAAGTTTATATGACAATGACTTAAGAGAGTAAGAGAACTCATGCTCAATATGGATGTCATGATTAGTTGGTGCAAGCTGGGGAGAGTAATCAAATAGGGTTGTTATGAGGAAGCCTTGTAGAAACAAATTTTGGAAAAAAGATGATTTTTCAGGATCAAGGTTGAGTCGGTATCAAACTTATTTACATTTTAAATTTCTAGATGAGAAATTATTTACACAAAGTCAAACATATCTTGCTTATTCGGAATTCTTGATTTTACTATTGTAGTTTTGGCTAAATGTTGGGAGTTCGTGATTCAGTTGAGCTTTTCTTAAGATCAAAGAAGAAGACTACAATGATGATATCGGGTCAACATCGGGACGAGTGTTGAATAAAGTTGAGGATGTTTAATCGGGCCATTTTGAGGTAGAGTAAGTTGTTTTAAATTGTTTAAATTAATATATGTTTTTTTTTTCAAGAATGACCATACTTTAATGAATGACTAAATAAATACGAACATAACAGATAAATGAAGACAAAATAATGTCGGTTAAAAAAAGAGTGGAGAAGAAATACATAAAGATCTAAGAAAAAGGGTGAAAGTGAGATTAAAAAGATAAGAATGATCAAATGTGAAAATCTAAATTAAGCAATTTAATTCATAAAGTTACACGTTCAAATGAAGAAGATAGGTTGCCGACTTTTTAACTTGGACGACTCCATCATTCAGTATGGTTCAAGCCAGAAAGAAAAAAGGAATTGGAACTTAAGCCGTCCCATATTTTAGTAGGGCAGTTTGACTTGTTTATTGGACAGTAGTGAGAAATGATGTGCATGAGAACTTCCGAATTTCAAGCATTTTCTCACCTACAAATAACAAATTAATTCCCGAACCCAAGGATGACTTTTCACATATCCTGCATTACGGTGTTCTTGCACTTTGGAGGTCTAAAAACACTTCCAAAACTTCTCCAACGACATTTCCGTTCACAAATTATGGATATGAGGATACGAATCATCGAGTTCACCATCAATCAATGAAGATCGTCAAACCATAATTTCATCATTGTCTTCTCCAAGTTCTAGAATTTTATTACTTACTCCATAAGGTTCATTTGTCCCGAGTTTTTCCAGATATTTACATGACTAGTTTTTATGACCTTTCGTTTGTTAATAAAATTTAAGTCAATTTCTCATGTTCGTTTTAAAGTTGTTTGCTAATTAATTAATATGTAATGCTAAATCATTTAAGTTTACTTCCACAAATTTTGTAGGATGTTAGGATGAACAAGTTTTGATTATTATTTATATTCCGATCAAAGTTATTGTTTTGTTCTTAAAGTTGTGATTTTTTATTTGCTATAATTAGAGTTGGGTTTTAATATTGTGTTGGTATTGTAATTAAGATAGCGCATTGCCAATTTATTTATCATTCAAAGTTCAAGTAGATTAGGAATTTAGATGACGAGTTAAATCCAACTACACTATTCCAAGTTTGTAGTTTTATATGCTTAACATTATAATAGGTAATCAAAAGACACATCATCGCCAAATCACTAGTTGTTTCTAATCCAATTAGACGTAAGGAGTGATACAATTAGTTGGATCAAATTTGTGTGTGCCCAAAATTACATAGTGCATGTGAAGCAACCTTAATTATGTATGGGTAATTAAATTGGAATTTAAGAGAAGAAAAATGTATAAATCCAACCATATGATCAACTGAACCAAAACTACCTTGCTTTTCTCATTCATAGTATTTGTTTGAATAATTGGTTGCAACATAAATTTCAGGCTTCTTAATTCATTTTTAGTTTAAATTAATTTCATAATAATTGCTAGTGATAGTTTTTATGTTCACTATTGTAACACAAAGTTTAATCATAAACTTCTTATGGATTCTATTCAACTTATCATATAGGTTTAGTTGGGTTATTTTTTAGCGAGACGATGATCTCGACCAATACTATAATAATACAAACAACGAAAGTTAACAATAACAAAAATGTTATGTGAAAATACCATTAATAGAAAGTTACCTGCAAAAATACCCATTTATGATATTTCACATATCATAGCTACAAAATAAATACCAAAAATGGGTATTTTTTAGGAATTTCGAAAATTACACCTATAAAAATAACTAAACTCGTTATCGAAAATACCTATATTTCCAAGTAAATTTTAATATTTCACAGGAATGAGTTGCAAAACAAAAAGTTATCTAAAAATTGCCAAAAACCATTTTTCAAGCAACATGGAAAAACAAAAATGGCCAAAACTTATTTTAGACACTAAAAAATGGGTAAACATTTATTGTCGTAGAATAGCCCATTTCGTTAGCCAATTCGATGACAACTTACTAATTTTTGTCTAAATCTTAAAAATGATTACTAATATTTTGGTTATATTTGTGTCTTAATATTATCCTAAAATTTCAATATTAGAACGTGACAAATGTGAATTAAATAGTGTTAGTCTTAACGTGATTCATCCCAGATGACAGCACAAGCCTTGAATTTTACTGTTGACATCCTCCATCTGAATTCAAAAAAGTATAATAAATCAGGCGCTAAAACCAAGCATCAAACCAGATTTGAAATCGAATTCATTCAATAAACAACTTGCGCATTCAACACTCATCTTCAACTCTTTCTCTCCCAAAACTCCTCCACTTCGCCATTAATCTTCATCAGTTATCAGTTATCACACACTTCCGATCAATCTCTAGTCTCTACAATCTTTACACATGGGTTGTGTATCATCGCATCTATTAAATCAAGACGACGATTTCACCCAAATCGGCAGCTCCGCCTTGGGCCACCACATCGTCTCTCTTACCTCCACCACATACGGTCTCTTAACTCTCGACCCATCATCCTCCCCGACCACCGTACCCCCCACTCCACCGCCGCGTTTCACCCTCAGCTCATTCTTCCCCTCCCCATCCCCACTCTCTGAACCCAACTCCGATCCAAATCCACCGCCTGAAGTCATTAACTCATGGGAACTCATGGCTGGCCTCGATTCCACCGCCGATAGCTTCCGTTTCTCCCCACAACCGTCTAAACCTTCTCCTTTCAGATACGCCCTTCTCGATTCAGAAAACGTAAACCCCACCAAAGATCCCTCAAGCCCTAATTATAAAAACCCTAAATTTGTCAAATCCTTAGCGTCTAAACCAAATTTCCTGGATAAATTTGATGCACTGTGTCCGCCGAAGGGAGGGAACAAGGTAGTGATCTATACCACGACATTGCGAGGGGTGCGGAAGACATTTGAAGCTTGTAATGCAGTCAGAGCAGTGATCGAGGGATTTGGGGTGTTTTTCTGCGAGAGAGATATATCAATGGATCGAGGTTTTAGAGAAGAGCTTTGGGAACTCATGAAAGGGAAAGATAAGCACGAATTGGTGCCACCTAGGGTGTTTGTAAAAGGGAGGTATGTGGGTGGATCCGATGAGGTTTTGAGAATAGCGGAAGAAGGGTGTTTGGGTAAATTGCTTGAAGGTTTACCCAAATCAAAACCAGGGTATGTATGTGAGGTTTGTTGTGGTTCAAGATTCTTGCCATGTCTTACTTGTAATGGAAGCTGTAAAATGGTGATGGTTTTGAAGAAAGAGATTGATGGAGAAGAATTGGGGAAGACTGTGAGGGTGCAATGTAGCGATTGTAATGAGAATGGACTGGTTCGTTGCCCCATTTGTAGTTGATCTTCATCTTCATCTTCATCCATCATTGGTATTTGGTTTGTTATTTTCATGAATATCCTTTCCTTTTTGGATGAAAAACTATAAATAAAATCCAGATGATATTTATGAAATCTTGAAACCATCAATGTGGTAAGATTTGCCCTTAATTAGTCTGTATGATTCTTGTAGTGCTGCCTTTTAGTTTGCAGTATCTCTTGATCGATTTACAAGAGTTCTTGTCTTGTATCTAAGTAAGTATTGGAAGTTTTATTTTGTGAAACTTTAGAATAGGCATTATCTGGTTTAGTTTTGGTTAACTTTTAGTTATGGCTTTCAATGCATTTATGTTTACACCACTACTGATTCCTTTCAAAGTGATCAATTGTTTATGATAGGATATGATGTAGTATGTTTGGTGTGCATTGAACTTGGAAGACGGTTGATGTTAATTGACAAACAAAAATGTAATTTTTGGTTCTATGAAAAAGGTGGAATAAGATGGGAAATGAACTATTTTTGATATTTTGAGGGTGTTGGAGATTATTTTTTTAAACTGACTTTTTGGACTTTTGTTTTTTTCAAAAAGCCAAAGGTTTAAAAAGGTGTCTGGCAATTCCAAAAATTTGAACACATTTTAAAAACTCTATTTAGAAAAAACCAAGGTTGTAAAAATCGCTCGACAGTAGCTCGACGTCGACTGGTGTTAAAGGATTAATCGGTTTTGGTGGAGATTAATCGGGGATTCTAGATTATTAATAAAATATTAAAATTAATCAAAGATTAATATATTTTAAGAAAAAAAAGTACTTCAAAATTAGAAAATAAGAGAATTTGTAATTTGAAAATTTGAAAATACAAAAAATTGAACATTTTGGTATAATATTTGAAATTTTGGAGTAAAAAAAAATTAATTTTTTTAACATTTTTTTGACTTTCGTTGATTTTTGTTGACCGATTAATCCCGTGAAGACCGATTAATCTATAACTTCCGTCAAACATAATAATCCTAGTCGGTTGGAGAATATCAAACGATTAATCCACGAACCATGGAAAAAACTATAAGTCAAAAAGTTTTTTTTTGTCAAAAAAAAAGTAGGTTAAAAAGTAATCTCAAATACCCTTTTTGTTTATGCAAAATACCTTAAATATCTAATCTAATCATCCAAAATAATGAGAAAATGCCATTATCTCTTGCCTCAATCTCTCGTCAAACCGGATGTTATATCTTTTTCTCTTTTGTCATTGAAAATCACTCATTAAAACATGGATTAATGTCTTTATGTTTTGTTTATATTGAAAGACTTGAAAAACTCAAATTTAAACTAAATACACAACATTTTTGTTGAAGACTTAAAGTATTAACAAAGTACATGCAAATAAAATTTGACAAAGAACTATAAAGAGTTGTACTTGTATACATATTTAAAAAGAAATTTTAAAATTTATTTTGTTGAAAGAAAGTTAAAGATGTTTTAACCAAAAACAAAAACCCTATCTTTTAAATGTAATTTATATGCTATCCATTTAAAATAGATATTTATTCTAATGGACTTTTAGTATGGAAAAGTGCATTAGCCAAAATGTGTAGATTAAAAGGTGAAGAGTTTGTGATACACGAGAGTTTTGGGTTGGGCATCACTTTTGTTTAAATGGACGATTTACTACTATTTCTTTGTGACCAATGACATATCCGTCACAAAGAAAACATAAGCGTAGAAGAGATTAAACATGCCAATATTGATTTAGTAAAAGTCGATAAATCTCACACATATCTAAGAGTTCCACATATATTGGAATTGGTAAGAGTTTTACTTAGCTAAATAACATATCTTTGGGATTACAACATACTATTTTCTAGTTACAAATGAAATGTGGATCTAACTTTTGATAAAATAATTTTGGGCAATTAGTTTTATAAAGGATAATTAAACAAATCAATAATTAAAAAAAAAAACTATTTTATAGATGTCTTCAATGTAAACTCTTTTGGTTCAAACTTTTTACTTCTAACTATCCTCTCGAAGGATCTGGATAGCTAAAATTATCTTAATTGGTACCGAAACTTAATAATTGTACTCAAGTATGATAAGAAAAATCAAGCCATTGAGGAACCTTTCCTCGAAGCTCCTTCATCTAACATAACTAGAGCTGAAATCGCCAAATCGTCAGAAGGTTCTGAGTTCGTGTAGAAGAAAAAGAGCTGAGTGTTAGGTAAAATATGAAAGGTTGAAAACATGCGGCTTTCACATTTGAGTACTATTGTTACGACGACTCAACATTTGCGGCTTTCACATTTGAGTACTATTGTTACGACGACTCAACATTTGCGGCTTTCACATTTGAGTACTATTGTTACGACGACTCAATTTCATGTGCAAATTGCGGCTCTCTCACCTATATATATGCATGTATGTTTTGCATATTTTGTGTGCAAAAACTTGAGAGAAGAACATCAAGTTAGAGTGTCAAGCCCATTGTAATCTTGTGAGTTTTAATAAAATTCTCTAGTTGCAGCCCGTGGATGTAGGATTTGCACCGAATCCGAACCACGTAAAATCCTTGTGTTCTTCTTGCTTTATTTTCGTGAGTTTGTGTGTGTGTGATAGTGTGTTTTCCGCTGCGTGTACCCGGTCCGGTTCCTAACAACTGGTATCAGAGCCAGATTAGCGAGGTTTGGAGGGTACAATCATTTTTTTATCACGTACGAGTGTACCTGATTTGTATCTTGTTTGTCGTAATGGCTGAAGACAAGGTTGTAATCAAAAGTTCAACGGTTCTGATTTAGCTGGTGGAAAATGCAATTAGAAGCATTGCTATGTCAGAAAGACTTGGACATGGTACTCGGAGACAAACCGGAGAAAATGGAAAAAACTTTTGAAGATGCGTGGAACTCAAAGGACAAGAAAGCCAAGGCGGTTATTACATTGTCGTTGACGAAGAGCGTTGCTTTCAACATCATGAATGAAACCACGGCGCGTGGTATGATGGAGGCTCTGTCAAATATGTATGAGAAACCATCGGCGGCTAACAAGGTGTTCTTGATGAAGGAGTTGTTCACTACAAGGATGAATGAGGAAGGCTCAGTTACGGTTCACATTACTAATTTAATTCAATTCTGTCCAGATTATCATCTGTGGGAATTAAATTTTAACGAGACTCAAGCATCACTGCTACTAGCTTCTCTACCTGATAGCTGGTCCGGAACAGTTACTGCTGTTACAAGTTCCGTGGGGACCAGTGGTATGACTTTTGAAGGGGTTAGAGATTTGGTTCTAGGCGAGGATATCAGACGCAAGAATCAAGGTGGATCTTCCTCTTCTGATTTATTAAATGTCGGAAAGAGGTAGGAATAGAGGGAATAGCAGGAATAGTGGAAGCAGTGGGAGTCGGGGAAAAGTTCTTCTAGAACTTTGAAGAATGTGAAATGCTGGAATGGAACTGCCAAGAGGTGGGGACATGTTAAGAGTCAATGTCCAAAGAAAGAATTAAACATTGCTGGTGCTGAGAGTGTGTCTGAGGATGATGCACTGATACTCAATATGGAAAGTTCTGTGGACTCTTGGGTCATGGATTCAGGGGCTTCGTTTCACGCCATGGACAACGGGGAAACGATGGTGAATCTAAAAGAAGGAGATTTTGGAAAGGTACGTTTGGCAAATGACGAGATGCTTCAGGTAACGGGCATGGGAGATATTGATTTGGTTACTTCATTGGGAACTACATGGAGCCTGAAGGATGTCAGGGTGATTCCGGAGCTGAAGAAGAAATTGATTTCTGTTGGTCAGCTGGATAAACAAGGACTGGAAGTAAGGTTTGGTGGTGGTAATGGAGGGTGATCAATGATAATCTAGTGATTGCTCATGGTATGACGTGTGGGTCATTGTATATGGTTGAGGTATCTGCTGAGGGAAGTATGACCGTCCTGTTAAGCAAGACAAAATCTGGTTCGCTAAATCTACGGCTAAGAGAGTTCATTTTGCAAACATGAATTCTGGAGCCAAGGGGATGTTAGCTGAACGAGTCAGAAATTCTAAACCATTCAGGAGATTCTGTGACAGTGGGAGCACGGGGTGTGTTTCGGGTACAGTTACAAAGAGCCGTTGGGTTTTTTGAAGACTAAGATTGAAAAAGTCTCTCCTGTTGAAAGTTTGCAAAGTTGGGAGAGTGTTAGTGGTCCTCGGTGTATCTCTGGATCTGGTGGAGTGTCCAAACCGGTTGAGACAGAGGATGAGTCGGTGGTGGGATTAGCCACGACTGAGTTGGAGCTAGTGGGAGCTTCAACTGTCCCTTCTAGTACTTGAAGATGAGGGGCGGCTGCAATTAGAGAAATGGGACTAAGTTTAGCTTGTTCTTAGGAACTGGAGGCTTGGAAGACTTGGTTGTTTTAAGATTACTGGAGTTGGATGACAGAGACGGACCATGTTGTTCAAACTTTCAAGTGGGAGATTGTTAGGTAAAATATGAAAGGTTGAAAACATGCGGCTTTCACATTTGAGTACTATTGTTACGACGACTCAACATTTGCGGCTTTCACATTTGAGTACTATTGTTACGACGACTCAACATTTGCGGCTTTCACATTTGAGTACTATTGTTACGACGACTCAATTTCATGTGCAAATTGCGGCTCTCTCACCTATATATATGCATGTATGTTTTGCATATTTTGTGTGCAAAAACTTGAGAGAACATCAAGTGTGTAGAGTGTCAGCCAATTGTAATCTTGTGAGTTTTTAATAAAATTCTCTAGTTGCAGCCCGTGGATGTAGGATTTGCACCGAATCCGAACCACGTAAAATCCTTGTGTTCTTCTTGCTTTATTTTCGTGAGTTTGTGTGTGTGTGATAGTGTGTTTTCCGCTGCGTGTACCCGGTCCGGTTCCTAACACTGAGAAAGGTATATTACGACTTAATTAAGGAGCCGTATTTATCCTAGACAGATTAGGGGTTTCCTCTTCTATATTAGTTAGGAGAATCATAAATTTAATGGAATAATCAACGGTTACCAAAATTGATAAGATT